TGTGCGTTTATATACCCCTCTAAAGTGACACTAAATGCACACATTGTAAGATTAATATATTAAACAATTTCAACGACTTTATAGTTGCATACGAAATGTCAATAACCATTTTATAATGTATCATACGACGTAATTCTTGAAATAACAGTCTTTTCCTTTCACTACACAAATTAGTCGAATGACATTATATTAAAAATTCTACTGAAACGAAATGTTTTAATTTCAAAAAGAGGGAGATGCGCATAATCCTCTCCATTTCTATTTTTAAAATCAGAAAAGAATTTTAAATCGAAAATCAGATCGCAACCATTCAATTTTGCGTGAACGTAACCGAGTAACAACCTTCACGTACTTTATATTATTTGCTTTAGAATATAAATTAATCTCTTCACGATTAATTCTCTTACACTGTTCGATGTGTTCGTGATCGTAGCCACGTATGGTGACGATGAAACTCGATTTTATTTGAAATTCTACAATCGAGAAATGCTTCCAACAATATATACAACGTGCATGTAGAAAACAAACGAAGAAAAGCATAAATATTATTTACCAAATAAATTCTTTGGCGTACCAATTCCAGGGACCGAAGGGAGAGACAGGTGCAAAAGGTGAACCTGTGAGTATTGACGTAATTCGACTCTATTAATATTAAATAATTGGGCAACAAAATTATGATTAAATAAGATGGATTAACTCAAATATATTTCACAATGACATCTCTGATACGCGAAAGGTATCGCACACTTGATGTGAAATTACGGCAAAGAATGTACGAAATTAGTTTATTATCGATGTCTACTTCGCATTTCATCTGTCATCGTCGTAATCATTATTCATTTGTATTATTACTATTATTATTATTGTTATTATTATTATTGTTATTATTATTGTTATTATTATTATTACTGTTATTGTTACTACAACTACAAACGAATCATCGCATGAAGAAACGAAGCGAAATCAATACATCTAATTAAGTATGATTTAGCGTTCGGTCAGAGATAATACGAAACAAGAATTGCACAGAAGAATAATCTAACATATTATGCAGTTTTGTACACCACGCGCAAGAATCGTTCCATAACAAGCGTTTCTATAATCTTCTACCTTCACTTTTCATTTTCCTACGATAATTTCCTTATTATTAGTTTCGATACATCGATTTCCGTATGCTGCCACCAGCGTATAATAAACACTCGTTAGTTTTTTATATGCAGAATATATAATCATTTTTTAAACGGTACAACCTTAATAGATCCATTAAGCACAAACGTTAAACGTAACACTTTCTTTAATTCTTTGGATTCGATAAAAGGAACAAACGAAACAAAAATTTTCGATTAGTCAAGCAAAAGATTTATTAATGCCTTTGTTAGACGTTCATGCTCAATTGCGTATTCTGCATAATTGAATATTGTAGTGCATAGAGAGAATCTTTCTTGTGCCTGGCCTTTTTTTGCACGTTTGCACAGAGATTAGTGCTTGCGTCATTTCCATTAAAAAGCATTCTTATGTCTGAATACAGGGTGAGCGAGGAGCACGCGGTAAGAAAGGTAACAAGGGCAACAAAGGAGATCAAGGTGTACCAGGCCTAGATGCACCCTGTCCGTTAGGTGCCGACGGGCTTCCACTTGGTGGATGCGGATGGAGACCGCCTCAGGTAACGTAATCCTTTCGCATGTACCAAAGATTCATTTGTTTTAGGGATGAGTGTAAAATAAAGACGAAAACAGTGTCATACAAACTACGGGTTGCTGTATTCGGTAATTCACAATTGATCACTATTAACGATTATGAAACATTGTTAAATCTAATTTTTAATTACGATCGAGTTACGCGCGAAGAGAAACGTTGTCGAATGTCCATTACAAACGATAAACGAACGCAAAGAGTTAATGAAAACGAAGTAGATGCAACGAACGCTAGGATTCTCGCATATGCTTAGCAGGACATCACTAGTACCTCGGTACCAGCTGTCGAAGATCCAGAACCAGCAGAGACGGATTACGAAGAGCCAGAAGGGGAATACGATGAATATACGGATCCAAACGGAAATCTAGCCGAGCAATAAATGCTCGTTGTGCGCTGCCCTAATCACCATCAACTACGCTGCCCTACCACCACTACCACTACTACTACCACCACTACACCACCAAAAACCACCACCGTCATCGCCCCTCATCACTCGTCTCACTTTGCTCTCCTACACTAACGTGATCCTGGTAATTGCAAGTCCCGTAGTTGCACTAACTCTACTGCATGCTCAGTCAGCAATGATTTGAGAAAATGCTTCTTAACGATCTAACTTTCTAGACTCTTTACCGTTCTTCACCATTGTTTCTTGCTTCTCTTCCTTTCCTGTAGGAGATTTTTCCAGGTATACTTTGCTATGTGCTTGACGATAGTGATAGAACTAATAGGTTTCTCGGTTATGATACAATTGAACTTCATTCGGCCGAACCTGTCGAAGAATAAAGTTATTCGAATAACTAGGTCATACGGATAGCAAAATTCCAGCAGACTGTCAACTTTATAGCACTGTATGAACGACATCACACCAATGTCGACATATTCACGTTATTAACAGTATTTAATTTAAATATGAATGCATCCACCTACCTGTGAAAGTGCAATTCGATCAATATACTTTTCCGTGTCATTTATTATTTGCTAGTAACGTGTTGCACTATTATTTACGAGATAAATTAATGAGAAGTTAATAAAGCTGACTTTTCAGCATTTATTTTTGTATTAATATTATTTCCTAAAAAGACTATTAGAAACTGTTAAAATGAAATAAAAGACATATTTCTTATTTATCGAAGATTGTATACTTATATTATTTTTATTTACTTAAAAATTTTAAGTTACCAAAGTTTCCTATTCAATTGAATAATCTCGAATGTTTGCATTTCTTAATTAAAAAACTACGAAACCATCATTAACGTCTTTTTTTACAATTACAGAACTGTAAATACTATTTTGTCTTCGTCTTCGTTAATAAGCAACTCACATTTGAGCTCAGTGATAAAATAAGCCCCGAAAAAATTGATTTCCAAATATTTACTCGTTTCAATATTTTCGAGCAACGTAATCGAAATCGTTAGTTGCTCCTTATTTACATTTCATGTTTTTTTAACAATATTAATTACGTTATATGCCAGAGATTTATTATGAGCGTTCATATTATGCTATTAATTCTCTTCTACTAATCCACCACTTAATGTAATCCCAATGTAAATATTGTTATCCCAAGCAATTCAATTAAAATGGAGCTTCATCGCGCGTACATTACGTTCGAATTTATATTGTTAATGGCACGTTTTGTAGAAGCGTAGAAAGTTCGATATCCAAAAATTCTGTCTAACTTGTACCCTTGAGCGTAAATGAAAAAAAACTAGTCCAATAAGAAGATCTCCAACAATACTAACAAGCATGTTGCATGAAAACTGATATTGATAAGAAGATTAATTAATGTATTTATCTAGAAAAGAAACGTTTCTGAATCTGTATAGATTTATGTGACTTTTTTTATTGTTAGAAAGAATAAGAAAAGTAATACTATGCAATAGTAAGAGGTGTAGGTAAAGAAAAATAGGAAAGTAGCTTTTCAGACAACCTAATACTGATTAAGACACTAGTCAGTATCTTTAATCAAATTTTAACGTCACAAATAATTCTAATTCTAAATGCATGAATTCTTGGCTGTACACCCGCTCGATTGTTTATACGCACGACAATACAGTTCTTCAGACGCCTATTCAATAAACAATGAAATGGCTATAGACAACTGAATTCTCACAAAAGGAATAACAGTTTACATATATGAGCATTGTATGTTTACATCTACATTGCACTTGTACGTTTCAACAACTACAAATCTTTTCACATCTTTGAACGTACAGTACATTTATAATTATTCAAACAACTTAAATGTTTAAATATGTAGCACTTGAAAAATAAAATCATCTTATATAGTAAACTCATAAACTAAGTTACAGTATAATAGTATTAGAAAATCATTTACTAACTCTCGTTTGAGTAGATGCCTATATTTGATTTACTTATTGCTTCAAAAATTGTCTGACATTTATTTAACAAATTTTATTAACACGTTTTGCATTTTCTTTTATATGCCTTTCTTCGCGATAAAGAACAATTTCTACCTATTTACTTAATTGTAAGTAACTTGTTTCACAAAGATTTAAAAATAATGTAACCTAATATATAATATTTAAAATGCCCACAATTACAACCATTGTAAAATAAAAAAAAGTATTAGTTATTATAATAATAAATTATTTAAGTTAACTTTAGTGTAAGACATTTATGTTGCTTTCAAAAACAAGTTACATTGTAGTCTTCCTTGTTTAAATGATTATGAATGATACTGTAGATACATATATTAGACTTGCTTAAAAATTTAATTTCATATTTCCCAAAACTAGTAATAATATATTTGTTTCATCATATTTGCAGGATGGAAACAATATTCTTCGCGAATGGCTGGAAGAGCAAGAAGAGGAAGGAAAAGGGCAGTGATACAATGAAGATAGTACATATTTCCAGGGACCTTCGTGTATATTCCATCGTGAAAATACTCATCCAATTTGACGTAAAAACAAGTTTACAAAAGAAATATATATGTATATTTTAGATATACATATTTTTTGCATATATTTACCTATATGCCAAACTAATCATCTTGCCATCAAGTGTTGTAAATAAATGTACTTACAGTGTTTAGCGTCCGCAAATAGTGCGTGTACATAAATATTTTAGAGCTTATTACCGCAAACGCGGTTAGAACAATATCAACATAATTTTACTGATGATGTGTCTACAAAGAAAAGTGTCAATAATTTATAAACTACTTGATTTCCAAGTAAAAACGATATCTGTCTTAATTAACAAATCATCAACTGCACAACTTGTTAAGTGATAAAACATGGGGAAAACTAATTGATTTACTGATCCAGCAAGATTACTGCGAATTGATAGCTACATAATGTTTCAACAAAGTGCTATTGAATGCATCTTATGTAAAAATGATTCACTGTTGTATTTATGTCCTATCATATATTTATGTAACGTAAATATATTTTATGAACCTCAAGAAAGCATACAATGCAACAATTTCACAAATAAAAAAGGCAGATAAATAAGCAAACATTAGGTAACATTAAAATTCCAACTGTCATAATATAGCTTTCTCAAAATATCTACCGTTATACTATATAATTCTTGGAATATCAATCATCATAGTACATTTTCCTTAGCCATTGATAAATTCATAAAAAGAGAAATATAAAAAATGAACTTGCAATGACACAGAGCTACCAGAACTGATGATTTTCCTTGCATAAACCCATCTATTTAAACGTTATTTAATGAACTATTGTTATTTTTAACTTATATTCAAGCAAATTTTAACCAGCGTTAAGTTACTGTGTTAATTTATTTTTTATTAAAATACAACCAAACGAGTTTAAGCATAAATGCTATTACATACTCATACATGGTCATAATAATTATGTTTTACATATCATTATGTTTTTAAGCATAAAAAATTTTAATTGTGCTATTTTGATGAAGTTCAATTTTACACTTTATTGGAACTTCCAAATTATATTTAAATTTCGAATACTTTCATTCAAAACTCAGATGCAAATAAAATTCAATAAAGTAAAAAATTATTAAAACTTATTTGTTTAATATGTATTAATTGTATACTTTATGATCAATGCATATTCGTGTACCTGTGTAATTTTGTTGCCTTCGATGTGTTGGATAAAGTGCATATTTTTGCACAATCACAAAGGCTAATTTTTATACGAGTATCAGTTAATGAAGCATATCATTACACAAGTTTCCATTAGATTAGAATTACATTAGCTGTAAAGCAAAAAAATAATGTGTACACATTGTCAATATTACCAGGTATTGTAAAATAAAATATAAGTGTATATCTGGAATATTCTGCCATTTTCATAATAAAACCTGTTTTAAACTTTGTCATCCTTCATGTAAAAAACAAAATATGATTCAAATTATGTGGAAAATATTAATAAAATGAATAAAATATTCAGAAACCTAATATTTAAGTATTACAAATGATCCTTACAATGTGGATGAAAAGTAAGATATCAAGCAGAAGATATCCCTAAGATATCAAGCATAAGAGATTTTTCATATATCAAGCACTCTAAGCAATGTAGAACACTAAAAATTGTTATTTTTTATTATTATAACTGTGCAATACAAAGAAAACAATTTGCAATCGTATAAATTAGAGCTATATCATGATTATGATTTAAATAATTTATATTCCTTGAAATATGATTTCACTTTGTCCTTAGGATAGGGCTTTGTCACCAAACATGTTGGTATATTTTCAGGTTGTTCAATCCACAATTTATGATCGATATCAGAATTTTTCAATTGTATAGATAAAGTATTTAAGCTGGATTCATCAGGAACCTAGTGTTTAAATATAGAAATATACATTATAAATACTGTCATGCTTTGTTACTACTTTAACCCTTTGAGTGCTATGAAGTGAAAGTGTTATGAATATAGCAGATACATTCATTTAATAAATGACATTGGTACAGACTCTAGACACATATATGTATTCAGTGAACCAATACTAATGAATAATGTTTCTTTGAATATAATTCTGATAAGTTAAATAATATTTATATAATTTTAAATAACGAAAGATCAAAATATAATGTGTTACAAATAGTTACTATTATATAGGTCATGGACAATTGACATACAATATGTGGTATAAAAGAAAAAAATTCTATAATGATTGTCATCATAAACTGAGTATCATGCACAATATATACTTCTGTTTTCAAATACTTTACACTCAAAGAATTAAAAGCTACGTGTAAGTACAAAAGTTATGTAAAGTAATACAGAACAACCTGTATTCTATTAATTCTAATGTATTTTGTACCTGGGTATACTTACTTCAAGTACAATTTTATGCATGTCATCTAAATTCTTGAGGTAGTCTTGCATATAACTGTCATTATAAAAAAGATGTGTAACAGCAGTACAAGCATGACAAGCTTGAGCTACAATTGCACCTACGGGCCATTTCATTACCTTTAAAAGGTCTCTTCGCAATACCACATACTGAACTATAATGTCACCCATTCTGAAAACAACAAAAATTAAAAATTTGTATTAGATAGAATAAAATTGTGAAATTACGAAATTGTTTAATTTCAAATAGTTACATAATTTTATTTAATAAGTACATAGTAATAAACAACAAAAGTACATTAAATTGTCTTGGATAAGATACAAAAACACTTCCAAAGTATTTTCGTAAAAACTATTGTTTGGTTACAAAAATATATTGTTTAGGTAGTTTGTCATTGTTGCAAATAAAATAGATTACTTATACTTTACATATAATTATCTTTTGGACTACCTATTATTTGAGAAAAATGTTTTTAAAAAACTTACTCTGTTTTGAAAGAGATATTTTATAATATACATATTTTTTCAAATAATGATGTCTCAGATTGATTGATCTTTGTTTTTTCTTCAAAGAAAACTATATATAGATTATTGCTCCATTAGGTGTATGAATCATTTTCATTTAAACCCACATCATTGTATAAACAATAGGTCTAGCTAAACAAAAGTACGTAACATTTAAAATAAGAAAGTTCATCTTGAAATTTCAATAATATTTCTACCTTAAAAAAATGTAAATCTATCATAAGGTATTTTCTTTGGGACAAACTAAGTTCATTTCAAACATTTCTGTAAATAATAAATGATGCAAAGCATACTTGCATGCAAATGTGTAACAAACAACCTCATATACCAATAAAAGCCTAATTCCTCAGTATTTAAATTATACAATTATAATATTTACAAATATGGAGTTTTATTTTATTATCTCTGTTTATTTCTGTAGAAATTAATAATTGTACATAAGGAAATGATACAATATGTTTATGTAATAAATTTAATAGTTTATACATTTATAATGTAATATTGTATAAATTATTTTGTGTTTAATTT